GCCGAGGGGCTGAGCGGGGACACGGCGCGGCGCGCGGCGGCTGTGGAGAGGTGGCGGTGCGGGGAGTCAGCCTGCTCTGTCCCTCTCCCGGACGGCGCCTGTCGCGGCTCCATGTGAGGGTGGGGTGGCTGGAGTGCAATTGTTTCTCTCTGGTCCGGGCAGTTATAAAATTTTTATCATGCATCTAGAAATGAATAAATCCTAATTGTTTTGGGTTTGACCCTTTTGGGAAAAATGTCGCTCGGAACTGTTCTTAGCCGTTCCCCAGCGTGAAGTCTTCGTTTACTTCCTCGTCACGGCAGCGGTGCTTCCATTCCGTCTTTAACCGGAGAGAATCAAGGTCTCGTTCTGGGGACGCGGCTTTAGGAAGATGGGCAGAGAGGAAAACCTGTTTCATTAGCATCTCCGGCCACCCTTTTCCTGTTGGTGAGAGATTGTTGCTAGCTGGAGAATATGAAAGTATTTTTTCCTGAGCATCAAAGTTACTTTTAACCCAGAAAGGATGGGGCGCATTTCCTGGTGGCTTTGGAGAGTCTCGTGAAATAAAACCGGCTCCTTTCTCTACCTGGCGTGAAGCTGATTCCCTCTCTGCCAGCCACCTTGGGTGCCCTGCCTTCTAAAGGCAGACTCCATTCTCCTGCACTGGACACCCTCTTTTTCCAGCATTGTCGGGGTCCTTTTGATTTTATGGATGGTCTGGTGTCTTGGGCAGCCAATTTTCCTCATGTGTTTTGTTTTACTTGATTGCTTTCACACTTCAAAAATGTTACCTTCAAGATTTTGTAGTTATTCTTATGCTCAGGAAGGTTTTCTGGGGAGTAGAGATTTGACCCCTGAGTTTAGGAGTGTCCTCGGATGATTAAGTCTTTAAAGGTGCTGGACAGGAGAGAGAAGGTTCATGATCTTGTACTGAGAGCTGGATGTAAGAGAAGCTGGTGGGAGACTAAGCCAGCATGGAAGTTCTTGCTTTGTATTAAGTTTGTATGAGCTGATTTTCATTTGCCATGAACTGTGAGTGTGTCCCATGTGAAAGGCAAGAAAAGAGCACCAGTAGAGCCCCCATACATATACCATTATCCCCCTGAAATGTAAGCATTCTTTGCTTTCCCTTCTGTCCTTCCACTTCCAACTTCTTGAAGCACCAACCCCCCCACTGCCACACACACACACACACACACACACACACACACACACACACTATATTTTATATATAAATATATAGACTTTTATGGCTATTTCATGTGTGGACCAACTTTGAGATTTGGAATAAATTAATGTATTATAGTTGCTTTTGACACTTAATTCTTATTTGACTTTGAAGACAATAGGACATTGAGGATGCAGGATGCAAGATGCAGATGTTTTGGAAAAAGAGGTGACCCTGCACAGCTCATTTTAATTTTTCTTAGTTAAATGACCTATTTAGACTGGTGATTCAAATTAGATTGTTTTTCAAAGGTCTAAAAGTAATTTGCAGGTGATTTCTCAACAACTTATTTCTAAATATTTTATTTTAATGAGGTTTTTGTACTCTATACCAAAGGTTCGTTTTTTCTTTTTTCTTTTCTTTTTTTTAAATATAGCTTTATTGATTTCAGAGAGAGGAAGGGAGAGGGAGAGAGATAGAAACATCGATGATGAGAGTCATTGATCTGCTGCCTCCAGCAGGCCCCCCACTGGGGATCGAGCCCTAAACCAACTGGGAATCAAGCAGAGATCTCCCGGATCATAGGTCCATGCTCAACCACTTAGCCATGCCGGCATTTTTTCCTTTTAAAAGGAAATAAAACTATCTTTGGAAAAGAATTACCAGCTTTGAAATTAACAAAATGTAACTATTACAATAATTTTTCTTCCTCCTGGAATAGAGTACACAAAAATAATTTATTCTGGGGTAGTGAAATATGACTTTTTTCAGAAATTTTACACAAATATATTAGCTTGTTTCCTATATGTCAGTGTAAAATGTGATGATAGCCTTTGTACTAAAGAAGATACAAGGACATGTACTTCGTTTTTGGAGCAGTACAGATCCTTAAGTTCTAGGCATAATTTTAATAGCCTTTATTTGCAATTTATGTGGTATTTTATTTCTAGATAAACCACAGAAAAGCATAACTTTATTAATGAAGTATATTAATTAAAAAGAATGGATAATGACAATGGGGCAATTAAGAATCAAGTAAATTATATTCACAATTTTTTTTTAAGGAATGGGATATAGAAGATACTTCTGAAGAACTTCACATTTTACATGGTTTTGGGGAGTTTTGTTTTTAAGTCTCATGACACTAACAAGAAATTTAACATAATGTATTGTAAGTTACTTTCAGAGTTTAGTTTCTAGCATGTAGACTATTCCTTTTTAACGTTGAGACTTTTCAAGTATAATGTGCTAACTATGAAAATGAGACTTAATGTACCATTTGTTTATTAGAGACTGTTTAACCCTCATTGAAAGTCAAATGATTAACTTGTGTATTTAGTTATCTAGGCATTTTAATATAGTAACATCATTAATTAAAGTCAGGTAGACTATAAAATCCCATATGAAATGATACACTAAGGTGATGAGGCAGGAGATTTCCTTGTGGCAATACAACATCAAGTATTATTCTTTTTATGATTCTGAACAATAAACTAGAAAAAGTACTTAGTTTATTGGACCTGAAAATGATGTTGTTTTTCTATACGATTAACAGTGCTGTTATGAACACTCTCCCTCTTCCTTTTGCTCTCCCCTCTAAACCGTTAATAACCTCAGTGGAGTGAAACTACAGAATTAGGAGCTAACAGTCACATTACTGTTGAATGTAATCCTATACTTATGGGCCATGCCTGATATAAAGACTGAAGACATAAAAATAATACATAAATAAATAACAACAATCAGAGATGCGAAATTTTCAAATCTATAGAGAAAGCTTTTTGAGAAGAAAAGAGAGACTTTTCTTCTGTCTGTATGATTTCTCTAACACTAAAAGAGGCAGATCTCTAATTGGTCGGGTAGAATAAAAAAGCCCAGAATTTTAAAAAAACCAAACTCAGGATGGAAAGGGAATTTTGTCGCTCTGGAAACTTGATTGTCTGCTTTCTTGGTTTGGTCCTTAAACAGTATTTTAGTCTGTTCCCAAGTCTCATAAGGTGTTATGTTTGTCTTACTGACTATAAGTCATGTCTTGAATTGTTTCCAGAAGCCCAAGTGTTAGCCATTATAGGCCAAGGAAATCTTTTTTTTTTTTTTTTTTTCAAATAAGCTAAAGCATTAAAGCAGAAATTAAGGTTTTTTTAAGACATCCACCACGGACTTCTTGGTTGAAGGCAGCAGATAAGGAGTTACTCTCTTCCACATGTGAAGAAGGGACACCTGATCCAGGTTGAATTTCCTTATTCACGGGGGTAAGGATAGGAGAAGGGGTTACATTTGTCAGATCCCTTATATTTTGTCACTCTTAGTGTATCAACAAGAAAAACCACCAAGATGGCAAGGCTCTATGGCAGGGGGTGAGGGCTGAATTGCTAGACATTTTCCCTGACCTCCCAGCCTTAGTTTTCCCCAGCTGCTCTTAGCCAGCTTGTTATCTTAAATTTTATAACGTTGTCATTTAGGTGAGATGAGAATCACCAGAGGTAATAATCATTGCATTTCTTAGCCTGCAAAACTAGCCTTTGTATTGGTATACCATCTTATTTCATGGCACCTTGCTCTTTTTTATATATCTTATCAGCATTTGTGATAAGATGTGTTTGTGTATTTATTTGTTTAATGTCTGTCTTCTCCAGTACATTGAAAGTTTGATAAAGCCATGTTTGTCTTTCTTCATATAGCATAGAGGTCAAGATCATGGACAATGGAGTAAAAAAGATATGAGTTTGAACCCTGACTCTGATAGTCACTGATTTGTGACCTGGGGAATTAATCTCTCTGTACTTCAGTT